ATTTCAGAATCTCTATGACTATTTCAACAATCTACAATAATAGGACTGACATTCCCTTTACCATTAAACATTTGACTAGAAAATAAATAGGGGTTGCCACCAGATGCAACAAAGTTTGTAGAGGCTGGACAAGGTAGAGGAAACAACTTTGTTAAGGTTGTCTGCTAATTCATATCATTAAAGTATGGAGTTCCTTCCTCAAACCACACATCTCTTGATATAATAACCTTCTAAAGGGAGGATGATAACAATTATATCTTTTTTTTTTGTTAAGGAATATCCTAGAAAAACAAAATTAATAGTCCTTGGATCAAGCTTGTCCAAGTGTCAAGCTTGTGTAATCATAAATTAAATGTAGCCAAATACCCTCAAATATGACAAGTCATGTGGCTATTTCTGTAAGATGCTTATATTCACTTATGATAGGTGAGTAAAGTTTACTAGGAAACCAACAAACCTACCAAGAAGAGCAATGGAATCAAAACTAAAAGTTATCAAAGTAGTATCATCCTTCTCCTAAAGATATGCGGCAAAGTCATTAAGAAGAGTTGATATATTGTTAGAAGAAATCTCAACATTACTAGGAATGGTATTAATAGAGTGAACAACAACATGAACTTTATATTCACAGACTTTTTTAGGTATTTTCTCCTTTTGAAAATTTAGCTTCATCTCCAAATAAAAGATCCAGTACCACTTGATAAAATGACAAAGATTATAACAATTATGGCACTTCAAATCTAGTTGTTTCCCTTTGTAAGTTCTCTTATTTTTTCATTAGCTTATTAACAGCATAGGCACAGGTATCTGACAAAGAGATTTTAAGCTTTAGATGCATGACTTTCTCATGAGCTTTTTCTTGTTGAACTATAGCGCGCCTACACCAGTAAAAGAGGGAAGATCAAGATTCATAAGAATCAAATTGCAAAGATCTTCATAGTCTGGATTATGACTAGCAGATAATTAAAAAATCTTATCTTTATTTTCTTGTTTCTTCAATACTACTATATCAATAGTATGAGGATGATACAATGTAAGTCTACTCCACATACCTGTCAGAGTCTTAATCAATTGAACATAAGTATTTCCATCTTATAGTAGATTAGGATGATTTGTAAGTATTGTTCTGATTTCCATACATTTCTTTCATAACCTCTTATAGTTCCAATAAGGAATCTAAGTAGCTGAATATTTCAGCAATATAATTCGCTATAGAGTTTAGTAACCAAGACATGGTAAGTTGATCCTTAAACTACCAAGCTTAGGCTTGTGAAGAAGGATCAAGGGTATAATATGGCAATTAACATTGCTAAGTTTTGATCTTCCACCAAGAGCAATTGTCACAGCTGTTGATCAAGAAAGATAGTTAAATTCATTTAACAATACTGAGCCTAGATGTTGATTAGGATTTGGTTCTCCTTCCAAAATATTAAACGATCTATTGGTGCTATCGGCATTATTAGATTTAAAAAAGTCTTTCATAGGAAAGTTTAAACAAACAACAGAGCAATAAGAACCATCTTCGATACCATAAAGAAATAAAGGAATAAAGTGTTAGGTTATTTCTGAAGAATAATATTTTTTACAACCTAATGCCTTACATATAAAGAGCATAACAATTAACAATAGTAAAGGTGCTAATAAATCTCATGTAATCTTGGCATGTCAAAGTATATCTTAATCATATATATACTTGTAATGATTCTATCAATTATTTACATGACAACAGTATAAGAATACAGAAAAAGGAAGAATCGATAACATTGGAGGAGCAACATCAATAATATAGGATACAATGTAGAAATTAGCAATAATGTAGAGGGCGATGTAGAAATCAATGTAACTTTCTGATTAGTACTTAAAAGTGTGTTTTTATTAAGATTTTATATCATTATTTTACACTTGAAGTATCAATAACTCCTTAACTAAAGCATGTTTTATAATAACATATCTAATAATATAAGATACCTTTAATTTGTGGTAAATGTTTATCTTAAATGCAAGTTTATCACATAAATGAAAGGATTGATTGATGATTTTAAGTACTGAAATTGAAAGGATAAAGAGATGGCCAAACTTAGAAAAAAGATGCTAGTGCAGTCCAAACTGGAATACTATTAAGTAATTGTGTCATATCTAAATTCTAGATCTCAGATTCAAGTTTACTTTATATGGATGGAAAGGTAAGATATAGACTTACAACTTTAGGAGTCCAAGATTTTAAAAAGCCGTTCTCATATCCAAATTGTAGCAATAATGAAGAAGTCTGAATCTGTCTTGCAACCTAAACACTGTTTAGTGTTCAACCTATATTTTGAGTTCTAGAAGTCTAAGTGACTTTATTTTTTTTTCTGGAAAGCTGAGATAATTTTCTAAAACTTTTATAGGGAGGTCTGGTTTAAATTCTGACATTATCAATGATATTTTATTCAAATAAGAAGATAAGAATTGTCACCAAGTCAAGATGTGGCCATCCACTTATCAATTAGTCATCAAATTAATAGTTTCTAATTTTGGCCTATAAAAGGAGGCATTTGTCTTGCATTTAGGCATCTTGGTTTTCAAATCAAGATCATGTTCTTGCTTTCTCTCTTTGTATTTTTGTAATGCTTAAGTTTTGCTTTCATTAATATCTTATTTATGTCTTTCAATTCATTTCCTTTACTTAGTTAACTTTTATCTTATATATGTTTTTATCTTATTTATTTGTGTTTCTCTTTTTCATTATATTTATCTAAGTTTGTTATGTCAAACTGAAAAGGTTACACTAATGGTGTAAGAATAAGTATAGTGTAAACTCAATATGGACTTTAATGTTTGATACTAACATGTTTTATATTTGTTATCTTGTTTACTTTTAATACTTTGATTGTTAAATGGTTAATCTAGAGTTATGTTGTATAATACTTGGTACAACAAATGATTGGCACTTTCATAGCACAAACTGTATGGTATAACCGACACCTGTGCTATGAAAGGAATTTGATTTGTTGTTAATATAAGTTACAATCATGAATACTTGATAACATTTACAAGTATTAACATTATTTGAATATGATAACTAATATACTCATGTTAACAATTTATAATCTAATTGGAACTTTTTTTGTGTGTGATTTTCATTTGAGTAATAAGAGTTATACTATATTTGTTTGAAATATTATTAGTGGATCCTTTAACCTTGACATTTGTTGTTATCATTGTTTAATCCTTACATTGATCTTTCATCTCAAAGTTCTCATCAACTTCTTCTTCTTCTTCTTCTACTACTACTACTACTACTACTACTATTGTTATTATTATTATTATTCGTGATGTTGTTGTATTGCTTATTTATAATTTATATAATTAATTTTCTTATGGATTGACTTCCATCTTGTCGGGTTATTTATTATTTCAACACTCTTATAGTTAAAAAAATATATCAATTTTTTAATCATGTTACTTTCATTCAATAATATAGAATCACATAGAGTTTCTCCCAAAAAAAAAAAACCCATAATAATTAATGTGATCTACTTAAAGTCGAGCCTTGCAAGATAAAACGGGAGACAATGTAGAAATATGCAAAAATGTAGGAGGCAATGTAGAAATAAATATAGCTTTCCTTCAATAATACAGAATCACATAGAATTTCTTCCGGAAAAAAAAAAAGAAAAGAAAAAAAACATAGTAATTAATGTGATTTGCTTAAAGTCAAGCCTTGCAAGCGTAAGCAGCGAAGCAAAAAGCCGCAAAACGGTTGAGATATGTCTATAAATTATTGCTACATATTACTTTAGCAAACACTTTTGTGAGACTTGAGGGCAATTTGCACGACGCGGTTCTAGAGCTTGCATGACAGAGGAGCAACAGCTGGGTCTGATGCCTGAGTTCTTCGCTTAGGCAATCACTTCCCAAGTTCTACTGTTAGACTACGCGTGTTAAGTATCATTTTCTGTTCATCACAGCCAACCACAAAAGCCAGTAGTAACTTAAAGCATCACTCGAAGATCCTGGAAGTTGCCTCTCGGACAGAATCCGATGTTTTGATATTACTAATCTATAATATAATGTCACCTTAGTACACATATTTTTCTTTTTAATTCGGACGCCTAAATTTTGATACAGAATGCTGTGTGGGAAGTACATATTTGCCCTTGTCCCTTTTATTTTAATTTATTTGATCTGATTCCCTGGGTGTCAACTGGGTTAGGATCATTCCATAGGGGTGACTTGCTATGGAAGTCATTAGCTTACTGATCTAGATCAAGGGCTTTAATTTTGCTAGCCTTTCCATGCTGGTTTCTGATTGGTGCACGTGGGTTTGTAGTCTGCTAGATGCCTTTTCTTCTCGAAGTTACTGAGTGGTTTGTCCATGGAAAAACTGGTTTACGCTAATATAACAAATTAAATTACTGGTGGATGGTAAACTTCTAGCCAAAAAGTCATAAAACTGTATTATTGACGAATGAAAGAAATTAGTAACTCTTAGTACGTCACAGCACGCCACGCTGCTGGAAATAATTGATCAAGGACTACATGATCTTTACGATATGTATAGTGTAAATAATTTGACCATTTACAAAACCATCTAGCTGTAATATTGATTTTCTGAAGATAAATAACTTGATATGAAGTTAATTTTTAATTATCATGCCATCAAGTAGACATTTGGTAAACGAATTTCTCTCCTTTTTATATATATATATAGATAAAAAAAGGGACCCTGGCCAATAATTAAATTTTGTTTTACAGGTACTTGATGAACAATATTTCTCTTCATTGTGTTCTTTTTACGCGTATGAATATTGATGATCTGGTGTGGTTTTGACAGTGGCTGGACAGACAGGTCATTTTCGAGAAAATCAAGAGGGACACTTATTTCCATTTTTATAAGCTTGAAATTATCTGTCACCCATTTCATATTCATGTGTGTAACGTAGTGTTCCTTGACTAGAGGGATCTGCTAAACCTGGAAACCCAAATCCCCACCATCTATAAATACCAACTTTTGTTTCCACATTTCTACTTCATTTCATTGTTCCTTGCTTTCAAAAGAACAAGTAGTTACCCTTAGAGTAAAACAGAAGTCTCCTTCAAACCCTTTTCCTCGCCAAGACATTCATCAACCTTCAGCAAACTTTTTGTTGGTTCAGAGAGCATTTAGTTTTTGAAGGTTGCAAAATCTATATTGCTCCACCTCACAATGGTGAAGAGCGAGCACAAAATCCAGTCAGAGGCTTCAAAACCAGTGGCAATATCATCAACGCCTTCACCGTCAGCAAGCAAGAAGAGGAAATACAAGGGAGTTAGAATGAGAAGTTGGGGCTCATGGGTGTCCGAGATAAGGGCACCAAATCAGAAAACAAGAATATGGTTAGGCTCTTATTCAACTCCTGAAGCTGCTGCTAGAGCCTATGATGCTGCACTTTTTTGTCTCAAAGGCTCCGCAGCCGCTCTCAACTTTCCTATTACTTCCTCGCATTACATTCCTGACACTGTTATGTCCCCAAAGTCCATTCAAAGAGTGGCTCCCCCTGCCGCTAAGAGTTTTGTAGACAATCCCACCACCCCACAAGCATCATCACCTCCTCTTCCTTGTTCCTCCTCCTCCTCCTCGTCAATCTCATCCCCCCCATCAGTGGTTTCCTCGCCGTCCGATCAGCTTGATGATTATCTATCACTGATGGAATCTTTCGAGACCAACAATGAACCAGTTTCAATGCTAGATTCCTGGTACAATTTTGATGGCTTACAATCACCAAAGTATCCTGATCTCAATTGGGTCTCATTCAATCCACCAATGATCGATGATTTATACGAAGGGGATCTTCGTCTATGGAGCTTTGCTGAATAGAACCTAATCCAAGATCAAGCCAAACCCATATCATTCTTTTGTCCATCTATGATATTTGATTTGTTCTTCCATTGTAGCCTGGAGGCATTACTGACAGTAACCTAAAGTTATTATATATATAATTAGTCTATCGAGTTAGGAGAAAGAGACTCACATGGGGAAAGTGAACATTTTTTTGGACCATCTCATGTGGGTCTTAGATATTGAATTTGTGTAGTATTCATTATTTAAAGTGTGTTGCATGCAATAAGTATTAATTTTCTTTCTAGTAGTGAATAAAGGATGGAGAAATTTTTTTATTTTCTTTCATCTAAGTTGTAAAATATTGTGGTGGAAATTATGTTTTAAAATATTATTTATTTACAAATATATTAAAATAATATTTTTTATTTTTATAAAATTGTTTTTAATATTCACTAATTAAAAAAATTAAAAAATTAATTTAAAATAAATAAAAATAATAAAATTGCGTTTCAACAGCAGCCAACCAGGCCTCGTGCCTTTTTCTCAGCAGGTTCCTGATTACATGCATTATATTAAGGAAATTACAATTTCGTGCTCCTTTGGCCAGATTGAATCTCCAAAACCTCTTTTGTTTGATGAAACTGTCAGAAATGCCTATCTCTCTGGGAACAACGTACAAAGGGTATGGAAACTTGAAACCATCTGCTAAGAGTTTTTATTTTTAATTCAGTAGCCTTAATTGGTGATGTGGGCACTTCTTACTGCTTCGATACCAGCATGTAAATCTAAGAAAAGATTTAGATTTAGGTGTAGTAGACGCCATGTTCCTCTTTATCCGCAAATCATAGTAAACAATATCAGCCGAGCCAATCTTGGGCATTAATTGTGTTTTATCAACCCATCAAGAGAACAAATCAAGGCAGGGAAGATTGATCGATCACTATTTCAAACCATCTGCTAAACTTTTTCTTTTTTGAAGAAAATTAAATGAACTAAATAAATAAATGAATGAAAAGGCTAGTTCTTTTTTTTTTGTTCATGTAACTATATTAATTTTAACTTAAACATCGACTGCTGTGTGAATTTTTATCCTAAAATAATACCCGTCAGGCTCATGAGTATGAATCACTTGTAAAAATAACAACTTAATTTGAATTTTATAGATATAAATTCAACTTGATCTAATAAATATATATTTTTTAGAGTTAATGGATAACAGCAGAGTATAGATATTATTAAATTCAAATCAAAATCCATCTAAACCCAATCCAAAATACATATTTATATTATATAAATATATTTATAAAATATTTAGATTTTTCTAATATGATATGATAGATGCATACTTTAATATTGATATAATATATACATATATATATATATAAACACACACACATACTTCAAATATATATTAATTTTTTTTATTAATTAATAAATAATATTAAATAATAGACACTCATTAATACCCAAAACATGATAAATAATTTATAAATATATATAATTTTTATTTGATGAGTAATAAATAATAAATGAAGTATGGATACACAGAAAAATGATAAACGGATGGCCACTGTCATCCGTAATGACTTAACATATAGACATATGTCCAATCAATTCTCTACAACAGGTTCAGCGAGATAGATTGACCGATTTATTATTATTATGTCCATTTTCCGAACCTAGTCGAACGCAATCTGGAGCATTCATTGTCTGAAAGCCAAGATTGCACATGACCTGTTCTCTTTTGCTATGGGTCCCATGCTTATTTGTTTCCATCCATAGTTTTCTACACTGTATCTGGTCTCTTCATGGTGTGCTCACAATGGGCCATGTTACTTCATCGTTGAGCTTAGAACATCAAGGTTTTGGCCATTTAGGCGTGCCATGGCTGGGCCATATTGGATTGCGGTCCCACAGAAGCAGAACTGTCGTCGTCTAATCTGAGTACACGAAGGATGCTGCAACATGACAATTCCATTGTTGCAAAGCCACGGCACATCATGTGTTCCACAAAGCATCTCTTTATATATTATTGATGCCCACAGTTTGTTTCACTCGAAAGGGTGATTGCCATGCATGATGCACTTTGTCTTGATCAAATTCTGGTCTTAATTTTCTGTGGAATTACGCCAATAGTTTATTGCATGACAGAAAAATGTTGAATCATCTAATGATCAAGATTCAGCTAGTTTGACAGATAATCCTACGTTGGAGTGCATTATGGAGTGTGGATGGTCTACAAATGGAGGATTTAAAATTCATAACCTTATAAAAAGATTTAAATGTATGTTTTTGGGTCCGGAATGCATATTTGAAAGCAAAAATGGATCCCTAGCGCATGCTAGATAACTCGAATAATGTCACATGTCACGAAATAAAATTAACAAATCTCACATAAAAAGACACAATGATATGAAATGTGAATTAATTCAGCTTTTAGAATGTTTATCACGCGTCTATTTATGTGTAATTCGTTAACAAATAATTGAAGCAAAAAATAAGGTTATGAATAGTCAATTATGGAAATTTCATAATTTATAACATATATAGGGTTATGAATAGCCAATTACGTACATGATCATATATCTTCCAACTCTAACGCACGAAATGAATTGAAGCAAAAAATCATTTTGTCCATTAGCATTCCATTAACCATGATAAGAAATTTAACAAGCCATCTTTTTTTTTTTGCCCCCGAAGATATATAGAATGAACCAAGTCAGCCAAGTGAAAAACCGATAGTAATTAAGTTTCCAAATATTTTTACTAGCAACATTGTTGTACATATAAAAAAAATATAAATATAAATAAAATTGTGAGTATTGGATATTTGAGACCGGTAAAGTAACTTTAAAAACTTAAAATTCAATAAAATTAAACTGAAATTATTCTAACTCAATAAGATAAAAAAAACTCATGAATTTAATACTGGTTTTATGATTTTATTAGAAATATAATATTGCTCCAATTTATTACAAAAATAAATATATTACGCACTAAAACTTCAGTCTTTTTCTCAATTTTCAAATCTCATCTTCTCTTTATATTCGGAAGAAGAGAAAACAAAAAAAAAAACCTCTCCCTCTTTCCAAGCAAAAGGGTCTTTCCCTTAAAACATACACAAGCTTATACTCTTTTCAAATATCTCTGACGCTATCAAATACAAACTAAACAACCATTATAGTAACTTTTTAATAATGATTATCAAGAAAAGAAAGAAGAAAAACCAAAAATAAAATAGAAAAAATTCCATTACATGTAGAGAGATAAAGATTGAAATTTCAACTTGATTGATCTTCATTTATAGTAATAATGCACTACACTAGCAGTATTATTAGAAAGAGGAAGGGCACCTCTAAAAAATTTAAAAACATTAATGGAATATTTCTTTAGTGTTTAAGGAAATTTGTTTTGAGCAATAGAATATTGACGGATTTTTCAACAAAAACATATCAACAATATTCTCATCAGGAATATTCATTTTATTATCAATTGTGTTGTCCCGTAAATTTTTTGATGGGATCAGTGAACAAATAGCCACACTAATAAATTAGATTGTACCACCCATTTTTTATTGATAAATTCATCAATAACCTTAATCATTAATAGACTATTTTATCATCTATTCCATCGACAAATGACCTTAATTACTAAAAGACTATTTTGTGCCTATTCCATTAGAACTATTCTATTGATAATATTGCTAAAAGACCATTTTTGTCATTGATTCTAACAAAAAATGCCAAAACCTCCTGTAACTTTCTAATAATACATGATCGGATATTTTAGACAAAATCTCCAACAAAATAGTTTATTTTGTTAGTGATTTCATCAAAATGTAACGCTTCCCTCTATGTTATTTAGTTGTTGTGATTATAACAAAAAAATAATTACATTAAAAAATCATAAACTTATTGCAATAACAACAACAAAGAATTTGGATGATTAAAATTAAAATGAATTTCATACACAAGAATTATATTAAATTTCATTGTACACATAGAATAATTATATTACATTTAATTTCACACACAATGAATTCTACACAAAAAAAATATTTCAAACAACATATTAAAATCTTTATAAAAATGACAGGGGAGGAAAATATCATGAACGTAAACCAGAAACTCCAAAAAAGGAAGGAAAATATAAAGCCAAATATAAAATTATTTCTTATTCAACTTCATCTCTTATTTATGCCATTATTTGAACTAGTTGTTCTTAAACTTGATCTCGAACCATCTCCTTAATGGCAAATGATACCTAGTTTAGGTTAGAATGTTGTGTGCCTATCATTGAAATAATCTAACTTGTCATTATATCTTAAGTTGATGTTATAAACTCAATTTTTATTAGATTCATTAGTTACTTCAATTTCCAATTATAATTAAGAATCGTTGGAGGAAGAGTGGAGACATTTTCTCCATGTTTGACAATCATACCTACATTATATGCGTTCTATTAAAAGAAAAGGCAAAATCCAAAATTCATATTAATAATACAAATAAATATGAATTTTAATTAAATAATTAAAGAAAAACTTACAATGAACATTTATGTTCTATGATCAATAAAAATTTTAATCCCATGTCCCCTTTTCTTATATGAGTTTCCTTGTATAACTCCATTAGAACTAGTTTGTGTCTAAGTTGTTTTTCTTGCAACATAAATAATATGTAAAAAAAAATCACAAATAAAGACTAAATTAAAAATTAAAGAAAAAATATTAAATAAATAACAATAAGCTCTTACCAAGCATCTTACATGGTTCATAAAGAAAGTGTTTCTTAGTGTGCTTACTCATTAAACTATGAGTTTCTTTGTTTTCATTTTGAGACCCGAATCGAAAATGCCTTATAAATCCATCTGATGCCACAAATTCTTGAATCCCCCAATTATTCTCTATGACGTGCCTCAATTTATAATTTTTTCATAACATTATATCAACAAAGTTATCTCTGATTATTGTATTTTGATGGGTGTTATACCATAAATCACTCAACTTGGTACAAAAATTTGTTAAACATACATTATGTAAGGAGAAAAATATTTCAAATATACAATAATGTAATATTTTATTGCTTGATACTTATATAATTGCACTAAGGTTTTCTCATACATTCCTAACCTCTCCTTTATTTTTTTGGTCCTATCAATAAATTTCCTTATAGTCAATTCATATATTAATTAGTTTTAATTTTTTTTTAAAAAAAAACTATATATTAACTCAAACAAAAGCTTTGATATTTACATAATTGCACTAAGGTTTTCTCACACATTCCTAACCTCTCCTTTGTTT